TCCCCCCCCCCCCCGCGTCCGCCCCGCAAAATCAAAGCAAAACTAAAAGCAACGCGAGCTCCCGGGGAAGGCTGGAAACTCGGAGGGGGAAGGGGAAAATGAGCTTAAAAAAAGGGGTTAAAAGGAGCGAGGGGCTTCCATGGGGCGGGGAGAGGGGGGGTCAGCCCGCCCTCAGCCCCGCCGGGGTGCAATGGTGCTGTTATTTTGTTTGATTCGGGGGAAAAAAAATTAATAATCATTAAAAAAAATAAAAAAGCAGTGCCGAGCGCGGGGGCCCCGAGTTCCGCGCCCGCCCCGTGGAGTGAAGCCGCGGAGGGGAGCGGAGAAGGGCCCCCCCTGCCCGGGGAGCAGCGCCCCGAGCTCCCGGTGCCGGGACGGCGGGGGGAACCCTGTTTGCAACCCCCCCATATCACATCCCCCCCCCTCCGCCGGGCTCCCCGGGACTCCTCTATCGTCCTACCCGCCTCCCCCCCATTGATTTTTGGCTTTCCCCTCCTCAACCCCGTGCCCCTAAGCCCCAGCCCCCGGGGCCACAACGAGGATGCCCGGCCCGGGGGTGCCCCGTCGGGTAACCCCGTTCCGCGGGAGCGGAGCCCGGTGGCCGCGGGGAGCCCGGGCAGCGCAGCCCCGGTTACCGGCGCAAATTCAGCTCTTCGCTTTACTATTTTGCAGATTAGATCTCCCTTCTCTGCTTCTCTCTCTCTTTCCCTCTCCCAGGAAGGTAATTAACCTCCACTCTCATTAAAACTTCAAAGTCGCCCGAGAGCTCCTAACTGTACGGAATATCTAAGATGCCGTGACCGCGGGGCAATGCGGAGACTTGATTAAAAATAATAAACCGGGCTCCCTTGAAGGTGATGTCAAGAGCGAGTTAAAGCGAAAAAAAAAAAAAAAAAAAAGGGGGGGGGGGGCAAAAAACCCCAAAAGAACTGTGGATATCAGACTTGCCACAGTAGAAACTTCTAACACTTCGGTATTGCCCTGGAAGTCATTAGAATTATTACTGCTAGCACCAGCAAAAGTGCCAGCAACAAACAGTTCATTATTTCCAGAAGTAGTAACAGGGCTTCCTTTACTAGAAAAGAGGCTTTTCTAATTCATGCTAATTGCTTCTAGAATAATCCTGACACTCCTCAAAAATGTCTGTTCCTGGACACATTTCCCAAACATCCGAATCC